GTGCCCTGAGTCGAAAAATGTAAAAATCTTATGGGTTAGTTAAATCTCGGTCAAAAAGACCGAGAGTCAAAAAATGGCTTTAATTATATAAACAGTATTACTGTCTACGCTTTGTTATAACAAAACCGAATGTATATATAATCAAAGCCATAGAAAACGTCACTGTCTTGTCTTAAGTTTTTATCAGCTAAATTAAGATTTAAAAGATTATTTTATCAGTTAAGATTTTGAAATTAGTTTTCATTTAATTAAAATTTATATTTATGAAGCATTTTACATAGATACAGGGTTGTCAGTTACTTGGGATAAAATCAAGGGAAAATAAGATCTTTCCGAAAGATACTAAAACATTTCAATTCCACGACACGCAGGATTATTATTTTTACGCTTCCAATAACCGAAATACATTTAAAATATAGAAAAAAAGTTTTCCATTGTAGGAACAGTTTTTAAAATCAGCTCTCCTGTCGCTAAATAGTAATCAGAAAAAAATACCAGACAATTCAGGGAAAGCTAAACTGGACACTCTAGTTAGGTATCATGCAAACGTAAAATGGTCTACAATAATTTGTAATTAGCAACATTTCAAAGATCATCTAAACACATTAAATAGTAGATATCGATGTAAACATTAAATGCGTCAACGTTATCCGACTATTAAGGAGCATTTTATATCAACTTAACTAAAAAATTTATGATAACTAATTTTTTACGTGATTTAAGCATAAGACCGAATATAATTCAGTAATGCTTCGCAAATTTTGCGTTTTCTTACAATAAAGCTATTTTGAATTTAAAATTAAATTCAAAGTAGTGTGTTGGTGACCTTGATTTAAAGCAGCGACATTAAAATGTATGTACAGTACTAGTACATAACAAACTGAAGGATACTTTCTTTGAATAACTACATTAGGTAAAGCATATTATTTTTAATAAATATTTAAATAGCATAAGCTATACGTAAAAGACAATAAAGTCGTTTTATTCTGCTGAAACAATAACTTAAATACATATATATAGAGTATTATAATTATTTTCTAACTTCCGTTTGCTAAATTTCTTGATATATGGATATAGTTCAGTGTAATTACGATTTTATGTATAAATTCTAGTGGCAATCTCACTTGCTGTTTATAGATGAAATTAGCAACGTTAGAATTCGCATAGATAGAAATTAGTTTTCAACGTTATCTGCCGAATTTCCTTAATCTTCCTTTTATTACTGTCCACTATTATACGTATTATCTTTCAATAATGATGAATTGAAAGTCTTTTCGAGAATTATATTGTATCAAACTGTATTATATTTAAATTAGAGGTTGGCTAGCGTCTTTAATATTTGATTCATTTTTATTAAAACCTGTCTACATATAAAGAAAAAAATTACTCAATTTCTTTTCCAAATAATCTTATAGCATTATATTTTAAACTAAGTCATTTAATGGAAACTAACCTAGCGAATTATTTTATTGCAGCCCGGTCATTTACATTTAAACGACCGGGCTACAATTTTTAATTAAATTTCCTTAATTTATTTAATTTAAAATATATGTTCTCCACCACAAATTAATAGTGTCTTGATCTTGCACATTGTATTTTTCCTGTTAGCAATAGAGTAGCTAATCTAGTCTATCTTACTCATTCTAGGGGAATATGTCTGAATTGAAATGACTTACGTTGCAAAACGGACATTCGTATATAGTTAATCGAGGCCTCCTACCCGTAATATTTCTACCTCTTGTCTAAATTTTTATCTATCGATCTACAGTCTCGAGAATTCGAATGGACAGACTGGCAGACAAACAACAGTAAATTTATACGTCTACGATTTTTTTAAATTGCAGACCAATCATCAATAACCAAAACTTTTTGTACACTACTGTCCATTAAAATTGCTACACCAGGAAGAAATGCAAAAAGCAAAATGATATTTATTAGATACATACATTATAGTGGGAAGAACAAATAATTAAATTTTCAGGACATTTTGAGGTATAGATCTTGAGAAATTAATATCCAGAGTAGTCACATTTGGCAGCAATAACAACACTTATCTGCCTGGACATGGAGTCGGACAGAGATTGGATGGCATGTATTGGTACAGCAGTCCATGCAGCTTCAACACTATGCCACAGGTCATCGACCATAGTGACTGGCAAGTGGTGGCATGGCAGTTGTTCGGCAACCGTTGACCAGACATTTTCAATTGGTGAGAGATCAGGAGAACGTGCTGGCCAGGGTAACAGTCGAACATGTTCTGTTTCAAAGAAGGTCAGGACAACATGTGGTTGTGCGTTGTCCTGCTGAAACGTAGCGTTACGGAGACCTCGAAGATAGGGCAGAGCCACAGTCCTTAACACATCAGAAATGTAACGGCTGCTGTTCAAAGTGTTGGAAATGCGAACAAAAGGTGATCGAGACGTGTATCCAATGGCACCCCATACCATACTCCAGGTAATGAGCCAGTATGATGATGTCAAATGCATGCTGGAAATGTGCGTTCTCCACAATGCCGCCAAACACGGATGCGGCCATCATGATGCTCTAAACAGAACTGGGATGTCTGAAAGATGACGTGACTCCATTCCCGCGTCCAGGTTCATCATTGATCATACCATTGGAGGCTGCATCACAGGCTCCTGCCTGTGATGCAGCGTCAAGAGTAGCCAAAACCATGGTCGCCGTGCTGACAGTCCATGCTGCTGCAAACTGTTTGTGCAGACGCTTGTTGTCTTGCAAATGACCCCATTTCTTGACTAAGGGTTTGTGACGTGGCTGTACGATCTGTTAAGGCAATGTGGATAAGATGTTTGTCTTCTCGACTGTTAGTGATGGGGGCGCTGAGATTCTGCACTGCGTTCTTCTGTATGACTGTCCTGAACCCAATGATTCCATATTCTGCTGACAGCCATGGGATCGCGACCAACACGAGCAGCAGTACTGTGTGGTACGATAAACCGTAATCCCGGTAGGCTACAATTCGACATCGATCAAAGTCAGACATGTGCTGGTAGGCATTTCTCCTCCTTACACAAGGCATAACAACAACGTTCTTACCAGAAAACAGTGTTCAAATGCAATTTATGTATGAGAAACCAGCTGTAAAATCTCTTCTTTTATACACATTGTAGGTGTCACTACTGCCGCCTGCCTTAGACGAATGCGTTGAAAATCTAATCATTCGCATATCATATCATGTTCTATCTGTCATGGAAATTTCAACTGTGTAGTGTGACGCCTTACTGGTGTAGCAATTTTAATGGCCAGTAGTGTATGTTCTAAATAAAAAATCCGAGTCTAAATCTGTTGGTGTAGTTTAATATTAGTTAACTATAGTCTATACATAATACCATATGTACTATAATATAATGAATTTTATTATTTTGAAAGATTTTTATATTAATATATCTAAAATTTCAACGTAGACTATATATTCAAAATCATAATCTTAAATAACTTAATTAACTTATAAATTTTTATATTTTATCCTTTATTCATATAATAGAAAGTCTATACATGAGAAATTTCTAAATTGTATGTTTTGAAACTTTGTTTTTTCTTAACTACAAACTTATTTAATTATATAGTTCTCTAAATGATAGAAAGTAACAAAAAATCAAATTAAATGCCTAAAAATAATATATTTTTCTTCTAAAGTTGAAAGTATTATTCTTCTGCAATCTCTTTCTTCTCTGTTCTAGCTCCTAATGACTTTCCTCTGTATTCAAAGTGAGAAACTTAAGGAATAAAAATAGTTTCACATTTAAACTCATTTCAAACAAACAAGAAAAATTTGCCATCTCCAAAAATACGAAAAAAGGATTTGTTTTTCTTTTCCAGCTGTTATAACTTAGGGAAAATATGGTAATCGGTCAAAAGCTGACCCCTCTTTTACATTTTTGTACTGACAGAACCTTGAAACACCACGAAATGAAAATAACTTGGTGTTTTCTTCTTTATGTATGGAGATTAGTGTATGGAGGACATTATTTTTCATCTACTTTGAAACTTAATGAGCTTGTACCTTTCGTGAAAGTTACTGAAGTTTTCAAAGACTTTATTGTATTAAAGGATAATATCTCTAGAAATTTTCAGGAGTATCGGACCATTGGTTTGGGAGATATTAAAGGGATAAGTGCAATATCTCACAAAGGTTCCAAGCTATGAATTTTTTTCTACTCTTACAAATTTTTAGTTTAACAAAAAAGAAATGTATTTGTTTCGAAAGTTATAACTTTTCCAATATAGATATATCAATAAAATAGTTTAAATAAACTGATATTTTCCCAACTTGCAAATCTAGATCAAAAGTAAAAATATAAAACACTATTTTTCTTAAGAAGTTCTTTGAGATAAATATTTTATGTTATTAATCATAAGATTAATCGAAATTATACGTAAATATCTTTGTGTTGAAGAGGTGGGAGGGTAATAGTTTTAAAATTGTTAAATGATCGCCATTTTACGAGTATTCGTTCGTATTAGTAATTTTATGTAAATCGGAAGACTTAAAGATAATGGTACCAATTATTAGGGATGAAAAGAAATAAAGTATTCTGGGAAAGTCCGGCAACAACGTTGTCAACTTTTTAAAAATGTTCCCCGATTATGCTAAATTTCACGTTGATTATTTTCAAAAATATTAAGTAAATTTCTTTGTAGCCTAACACATATAATATTTTGATTCATTTCTGGAACCTTTGAACATTTTCTGTAATCAAATAGTTGCAAAAGTTATAATACTTTCAACTGTAAAGAAGTTTAGAATAGCTACTACAAAACAATTATTTCAATGCGAAACTTAAATCAAAATAAATTGAATTTAAACTTATTAATATAAAGAAATTCTACAGTTATATAAATATTCCGTCCCGATATGGTCTACAGTAAATTATGTCGTTATTATTTGCATTAATTTAAGTACTAGAACAACAGAACGCAATATTATTACAACGAATATAACTTTTAATGTAAAATATTGAAAATTTATGAAAACTTACGCAGTTCCATTCATTAGACCAAATGGTTTGGTATCTTCGGCAGATAAACTATAAGGAGAAAAACATTCTTTGACTCTTGTTTTAAATTCTTCGTGGATTTTGCATGAATCGTTCTTAACACGAAGCTGTCTTAGTCTGGGAGTGCCCAGTAACTGTGTTGTGTAGTATATTCCTTCGTTATTTTCAAGAGGTTCACCATTATACCAAGATTCCCAATAGAGATTATTAATTAGAACATGTTCTAAAAACTGTAAAGAATATTATTATAAAATACTGTAAAACCTGCCTAAAACGGGTTCTCTACAAAACTAAAACCTGGAATACAGAAAATTTTGGGCGATACCGTTGCGTTTCGTCTTAGACAGGTTTTACTCTACATTAATATCATTAATTAAATACTTTTTTCATATACCTTCCAAAAATCTCTGATTGTTTTTGTTTCAGTAAAATCTCTATCGTCTTCATCATCCAGTTGCGATCTTATAAATATTTTTTCCAAAGCAGAATTCAGATAATAATTAGTTGGATTAATCATCGAATACGAGACTAAAATAATACATATAATTTACTTGTCTTATAGTTTAAAATATGTAATAATATAAATTACAGCTTACTGATGCAGATTGTTACTAGAAATGTCAAATATAAAAAAAAATCTTTTCCGTAATTACTATGCATGAGATTCTTAGATTCTGAAACAAAAAGTATCTATAATTAATCAAATATCAAATTTCATAAAAAAAAATTAACAATCAGAAGAGAGAAAACATTGAATTGATCTGTTATTAGGAATAAAGTAAAACTATAAAATGATGAGAATTTAATGGTATTTTGCAAGATATAGAACAAGTGTAATATTGGTCAGTTTAATTTGTTCGTAACTATGATTACACACATTAATGAGCATTAAAAATAATTAAAGAATTAGTTAAATTATTTACTAACGTCGCTTGTTTTAAATTTTGAAAGTGATCAATCGTATGATGCTATCAGAATTTCAACCAGTTTTCAAAACATATTTAAAGATATACAGGTATCCCTCGTATAACAGGGTAGTTATGTTCCGAAAAAGTGCCGTATTATGCGAATCCATGCTATACAAAACGAAGGATAATGCAAAACATGCATTATCCTTCGTTTGTTCCAGAAGTTGGAAAAAGTTTACTATTCGTTTTCGTTTCTAAAAGAAATATGTTTATTAAAGCAATCCATAATTTATAATTATTGATTTATTTAAATTAATTTATTGGAAATAAATTAATTTGCAGAACTAATAAATAATAAATGAAATAGTCAATAATGCACTGAAAATTATTAAATAAATCTTTAATAGTAAATACCAATCGTTAAATTATTATTCACATCGACTGAACATTTCGCCAAACTCGGGAATACAAAATAAAAGAAATATATACAGGCGCTCCTTCGCTTACGAACACGATTGATTCCTGGAATTTTGATGTAAATCGAGGAGTGCCTGATCGGGATATGATGGGCGCGGTTCAATTCGCTTCAAAGATGACGGCCGAGTTCGGTATCTAGCAGTTTTATGTGGTTGGTTTTACGGGCTACAGTCTGAAAGCAACGACAACGACACCTTGTTAATAGGAAAGTTAGTGCAATTTTTCGTCTTTGTCCTATCAGTTTTCATAAAAGTAAACCTGACGAAAAGCACAAAATGATTTTAAAATTTCAATATTCTAAAATCCATAGGCAAATTTGAGACAACACGCGTACTTAATTGAATAAAAAACCCGAATACGAAGTTTATAATTAAAAACTGAAAATTCCAAAACCGTGTTAGAGCGAAACCGGGAGTCATGTTGAACGGGGCATATCTTCAATTTTCAAACTATGTTTTTTTACTCTTTCAGCCCTGAGGGCACTAAGAGGGCCTCTTATAGCAGGCCCATTATGGGTTCGGCCAGGCCCACAATGTGGCGACCAGGTGGTGTGGGACGGGGCCCGACATATCCGAACGGACCCCCCCCGAAAAATTCCTGGAGATTCTTTGACCCGTCCGGATTCGATCCCGGGTCCCCCAGAGTGGAAGGCTGTCACCTTGACCGCTCAGCCAGCCGGCCGTCGTTTTCAAACCATGTTAGAGCGAAACCGTGTTGTACGAGGGATATCTGTATTTCAATTATTGTAATCAGAGTTCGATAATTATTCTCATTTTCAAGAAAATAAATATTTTAGACTTGTTCCCCTGCCAGCAGCCTGAACATACGGCAGATATTGTGCAATCGTTATATATACAGCCGCAGTTCACTTTTTCCAGCCATCAAGTCCATGGCGCAGTGGTTAGCATCTATGCCTATGAATCGGAAGGTCTCAGATTTAAGCCTGTTTGGAACTAAGTAACTAAAAAAAAAATCTAATTGACTAATGAACCTGTTCCATGGTAAATTAGTTTTCTTTTTTTTATTTACGTTCTGAAAGGTTCGAGAACAGATGTTAATTCACTATCATTTAAATATTTTGACAATGCTCTCGCGCTATAAAACCGCGGGTTAAGGGGCAGATTTTCTTGTATTGCATGCTGCAATTTTGGATGTTCTATGGAGGATGAATAAACATTCCTTTGTGTTTATCAAAGACTGGTTATTGCGGTTCATCGTTCACCTACGCGACAATATTAACCAATGATTTAAATGTTAGAAATCAAAGATTAATCTTTTTAATCGCTGTACAGTAGTTTAAATTGCTGGCGTTATTTATTTCAGTTATAGGCTGGCTTTGTCACAGTACTGAAAAAACAATAGGTAAAGTTAGATGAATTACTCTCAATTAATAATGATTATTATAATTTAGGTTAAACATTTTATAATTTGAAAATGTATTTAACGTCAAATTCAATAAAACTTTAATTTTAATTAAATATACTCTTATTAACTTATCCCGTCTAACATTATCAAGCGGTCATCAGTACGTTTATAAGCCAGACCCAATGTGATTAAGCAGGTGTAGTATATCTGTATTATCATTAAAAAATATTTTAGTTGTTCAGAAAACATGGAGTGTGTGGCCTAAAAAGCTGTAAAATTATTTATTTTGTGTTTACATCATTGAACAATAATATAAACACCAAAGATATTTATACAGTGTACAAATAAAATGTCTGTATGAATAAAAAAAACAGCAAGTTATATACATTATTGATAAATGTATAGAAAGTGCATATATAAATTTCTTAATGTTAAAAGATTACCAAATTTGAAGTTATGGTCTTATAATTGTAAATAACATGCCTGCATTCTTCAGTCGTTCTTATTACAAAACGTCACTTACTTTTTGTAATAAGAAAGGCTGAAGAGGAGCAGATCGATTGTCTGAAATCCATACCGTTATTGCAATAAATATAGAGTGCTCATTGATCTCTGTGTGATTTCTCCAATTAGCTCAATAGTGTGTCTACTGAGAGTCAAAACTTAGCACTCACGTATCCAATTCTGTTAGAAAGATCTAATGTAGAGTCCTGTAGGTGTTTAGTACTCACTTTAGCTCTTCCCTAAAATAATTTTGCAAAGGAAGAAAAAACTTTATTGAATTATTTATATCCTCTGTCAAGGTTACGAATAAGTTCGAACTTTACAACAAACAGAAATATACTCATCGTCTGATATCGATCGTTTTATTGTCTTACAATGAAACGATCGAATTTAATCAAAGTTTTCCCCGTTTATTATGAAATAGTGAGATTGTAATTTTTATCTTGTCGACAATGGACTCTTTTCTCTCTTCCCCTGTTTCCGTTTTCTTTGTTTTTTTTTGTTTTTTTTAAAAATAAAGTAGGACCAAATTGTAATCTGAAGCTAATTGCATGATTTCAGCAAAAGCTATCGTATTCATACTTAATACGATAGCTTTTGTTAATACGATAACATATCGAGTTGTGAAATCTTCAGAAAAAAATGTAAAAAAAACGAAAAAACTTGACTGAATGATATTTGTTTTTAATTAATTTTCTTTCTCAGCTCGCATCCTGTTTTTGTTTTTGTTTGTTATTTTTTGTTGTTGGTTTTGTTGGATGCCTGTAAAAGGCCAACCTGGCCACAGCGTCTTTTAAGAAATAAAAATAACAATAATAAATAAATAACAAAAAAATTATATCTTAACAAAAATGTGAAGATTTTGAGGAATATAACATAAATTACAGATACATCCTTATGGGTTCGGCCAGGCCCACAATGTGGCGACCGGGTAGTGTGGGACGGGNTGGATGCCTGTAAAAGGCCAACCTGGCCACAGCGTCTTTTAAGAAATAAAAATAACAATAATAAATAAATAACAAAAAAATTATATCTTAACAAAAATGTGAAGATTTTGAGGAATATAACATAAATTACAGATACATCCTTAGCATTTGTTCTAAATAATATGCTAATGGAAACTAGAAAACATTTATAATTTATAATAAAACCAAAACAATAGGAAATAAAATACTTCATTTATATTAAATACAATTGTTTATTTAATTTTACAGTGATAGCATACATTTACTGACGGCCAGAAAGCAGAGGAGGTTAAGGCTAACATTTTGATCACATATCGTCCAAGAAAAATTTCTTACTAAAGGCTAATTACTTTACTGATATCCAACCTAGAGCTCCCAGAGGTTACTGCTCTGGGAGCCGTAAATTGAACCCAGATGACCAACCCCAGGAATTCTTCGTCGACGATATCATCCCGGATATTTGGAGTCCCATCTTTCACTATCTGACTGCCCCCATTGTGGACCTTAGTTAAACCAATTATACGAGGAAAAATGACTCTCTTGGTGCCCACAGAGCGGAAAGAGTAAAAGAGATAAAAGATAGATTTATTAATATTAAATATGCGCGATACCTTATACAGTATAATATAGAAAAAGTTGAATAAATAATAATCAGGAAATTAATATTAAAATATAATAATAAAAAATAAGTGAATTAATTAATTTCACTACTCATTATGGTAGACTTAAATGATATAAGTAATATCTTTCTGGATTTACGAAATAAAGTGTAAACATGTTTTCTCAAATGAAATTTCATTCAAAACGTACAAATTGAAATAAGTAAATGAAATATATTTACCATAGGAAAACCGACCGTTTAGAATTTAATCAGAAAATCGTTTAATTTTCCAAAACGAATTAAGAATTAACAGTATTTATACATTTCTTTCAAGATATTATTTCTTATAATTATTCGTTTTATAGGTTTTATTATTTCTAAATATAAAACATTTTAATATTTCATCTAAAATAGTTATTTGGAAATTTCTTATTCAGTTTGTTATTTCTAGCAATTCGACTTGTGTTTTTGATGACTATAGATTTAATGTAACAATACACCAACAATAGCAATTATCAATTCTTTTCATGTTATCTTTAAAGAAAGAATAAATAGCATATATCAGTCTATCTCATTCCATGCTTCTCGCCATCGGCAATTTTTTTATCTTGTTGAATAAGCTACAATTAGTTTTTTTCTATACTTTTGTCAGCAATTACCGACATTAGAAGTGACAAACAATTCTGTTCAGCAGAATAGAGTTATCTGAGTAAAAATACTTAATTTTTGGGCTTCCACTGAAACACAATATTCTGAAGTAAAATATTCTTCTCAAAATCTACAATTTAATACATCAATCATATTAGAAAGATTTTATTTTTTGTTCAAAAGAAAAATATTCTTAAATATTCTAT